AAACGTGGTTTATTTCTAATTCCACAACCGTGGATTACAAATAATGCTGAAATTACTTAATTTCCGAGATTTTTCCTCACTTTTTAGTAAATTATACGTTTGTATGTGTTTGTTGGAAAATGACAAATTCCTAAATTTACAGCCAGGCAAGAAATATGATTCTTGAGATTCCTACATGTCAGGGCCCGAGGTACGGCAGGAATCGGGAGCCTCGAGCTCCCTCCACCCCCCTACACTTTTTTTGAAAAAGTGTAATAAAGAGAAATAAAATAGAATGAGAGCAAGAAAGAGAGAATAGTTAACTGCCCGTGTTAAAAAATAATGAGGCATCAAAATTATGCTCATCTGAACTGGATTAAATGCCTAAAACCCCTAAGCTTCCGGGGCTCTGCCCCCATGGACTCCACCTATAGGGCCCTACGGGGGCCCATAGATGCTTATCTGACGGTAATTTAATGCCTAAAACCCCTGATTTGGGGGGGGGGGGCTCTGCCCCCTGTACCCCAGGCCAATAGTGTCCTGCCAGTGTCACAAAAAATAAGGTATACAAAAAAAAAGCTCATCGGACCTTAGTTAAACGCCTAAAACCCCTGAGCTTCCGGGGCCGGCTCCGCCGTCTCGACCCCACCAGGGGCCCTAAGGCGGGCCCCTGAATGCTTATCTGACCGTAAGTTATTGCCTTAAACCCCTGAGCTTGCGGGGTCGGACAAGGTATCAAAATATGTTTATCGGACCGCAGGCACGTAGCCAGGCGGGGGCGTAGGAAGAAAAAGGAGCAGACAAAGGATATCTTTGAAATTCAGAATCAAGAACGGTACAGCAAATCGTCTTCTTTCTCTCTTAATCTTATGAAACGTCAAAGCTTCCGCGCTTTGCGCGCGGGAGGGGGGGGGGGACCTGAATTCAAACGAGGATCCAGAGGCGAGAACTATAATACGAATCTTTAATGATTTAATGAATCATAAAAGCTTCCGCGCTTCGCGCGGGATAGAGGGGGAACTAAATTCCGACGTGGATTATTTTCGAGAACGGTACAACGAATCGTCTTCTTTCTCTAATGATTTAATGAAAATTAAAAGCTTCCGCAGGAGGGGGGACCTGAATTCAGACAAGGAATAAGAGTCGAGAACGGTACAACGAATCGTCTTCTTTCTCTAATGATTTAATGAAAATTAAAAGCTTCCACGGGAGGGGGAACCTGAATTCAGACAAGGAATAAGAGTAGAGAACGGTACAACGAATCGTCTTCTTTCTTTAATATTTTGATGAAACGTCAAAGCTTCCGCGCTTCGCGCAGGAGGGGGAGGGGAGGACTGAATTTAGACAAGGATTAAGAGTCGAGAACGGTACAACGAATCGTCCTCTTTCTCTAATGATTTAAGGATTCGTAAAAGCTTCCACGCTTCGCGCGAAAGGGGGAAAACTAAATTCAGACGAGGATTAAGAATCGAGAACTGTACAACGAATCGTCTTGTTTCTCGATTGATTTTATGAAACGTAAAAGCTTCCGAGCTTCGCGCGGAAGAGGAGAAAATCTAAATTCAGACGAGGATTATTTTCGAAAACGGTACAACGAATCGTCTTCTTTCTCTCATAATTTAATGAAAATTAAAAGCTTCCGCGAGAGGGGGGGGGGGACCTGAATTCAGACGAGGATTAAGAGTCGAGAACGGTACAACGAATCGTCTTCTTTCTTTAATATTTTAATGAAACATCAAAGCTTCCGCGCTTCGCGCAGGAGGGGGAGGGGGGATGAATTTAGACAAGGATTAAGAATCGAGAACTGTACAACGAATCGTCTTGTTTCTCGAATGATTTAATGAAACGTAAAAGCTTCCGCGCTTCGCGTGGAAGGTGGAAAATCTAAATTTAGACGAGGATTATTTTCAAAAACGGTACAACGAATCGTCTTCTTTCTTTAATATTTTAATGAAACGTCAAAGCTTCCGCGCTTCGCGCGGGAGGGGAAAAATGTAAATTCAGACGAGGCGGATTATTTTCAAAAACGGTACAACGAATCGTCTTCTTTCTTTAATATTTTATTGAAACGTCAAAGCTTCCGCGCTTCGTGCAGGAGGGGGAGGGGGGGACTGAATTTAGACAAGGATTAAGAGACGAGAACTGTACAACGAATCGTCTTCTTTCTCTAATGATTTAATGAATCGTAAAAGCTTCCACGCTTCGCGCGGAAGGAGGAAAACTGAATTCAGACGAGGATTAAGAGTCGAGAACTGTACAACGCATCATCTTGTTTCTCGAATGATTTAATGAAACGTAAAAGCTTCCGCGCTTCGCGCGGGAGGGGGACAATCTAAATTCAGACGAGGATTATTTTCGAAAACGGTACAACGAATCGTCTTCTTTCTCTAATGATTGAAAGAAACTTAAAAGCTTTCGCGCTTCGCGCAGAGGGGGGGGGGGGGACCTGAATTCAGACGAGGATTAAGAGTCGAAAACTCTACAACGAACAGTCTTCTTTCTCTAATAGTTAAATAAATCGTAAAATTTTCCGCGCTTCGCGCGGGAGGTGAAAAACTTAATTCAGACGAGAATTTTTTTCGAGAACGGTACAACGAATCGTCTTCTTTCTCTAATAATTTAATAAAACGTCAAAGCTTCCGCGTTTCGCGGAGGAGGGAGGGGGAAACTCGCCCCTCCCTGCACCGACCCCCCCCCGCATTATGTCACTGTTGGTCACCATTACGTACCAATATTTGGCTCGCAAAATTTCAAATTTGGGCCCCCCCCCTAAGAAATCCTGGATCCGCGCCTGGCGTAGCCAGGGGGGCGGTGGGGTGGTCCCCCAATAAACGCCGGCCAAAAAAGAGAGGAGTGTAAAGGAAGAGGACGTAGGAAGAAAAGGGAATAGATAAAGAATATATTTGAAATTCAGACAAGGATTAAGAGTCGAGAACGGTACAACGAATCATCTTCTTTCTCTAATGAATTAAAGAAACGTACAAGCTTCAGCGCTTCGCGCGGGAGAGAGGAGGAGAAAACTAAATTCAGATGAGGATTAAGAGTCGAGAACGGTACAACAAATCGTCTTCTTTCTATAATAATTTAATGAAACGTCGAAGCTTCCGCGCTTCGCGCGGAAGGGGGGGGGGGGGGGAATTGATTTAGACAAGGATTAAGAGTCGAGAACGGTACGACGAATCTTCCTCTTTCTCTAATGATCTAATGAAAAGTAAAAGCTTTCGCGCTTTGCGCGGGTGGGGGAAACTAAATTATTTCGAGAACGGAACAACGAATCGTCTTCATTCTCTAAAAATTTAATGAAACGTCGAAGCGGGGGGAAAACTGAATTTAGACAAGGATAAAAAGTCGAGAACAGTACAACGAATCGTCTTCTTTCTTTAATGATTTAATGAAACGTAAAAGCTTCCGCGCTTCGCGTGGGAGGGGGAAAACTGAATTTAGACAAGAATTAAAAGTCATAACGGTACAACGAATCGTCTTATTTCGCTAATGATTTAATGAAACGTAAAAGCTGTATTCAGACGAGGATTATTTTCGAGAAAGGTACAACGAATCGTCTTCTTTCTCTAATGATTTAATGAAACGTACAAGCTTCAGCGCTTCGCGCGGGAGAGAGGAGGAGAAAACTGAATTCAGATGAGGATTAAGAGTCGAGAACGGTAAAACAAATCGTCTTCTTTCTCTAATGATTTAATGAAACGTAAAAGCTTCCGAGCTTTGCGCGGGAGAGGGGGATGAATTAAGACGAGGATTAAGAGTAAAAAACTGTACAACGAATCGTCTTCTTTTTCTAATGATTTAATGAAACGTAAAAGCTTCAGCGCTTCGCGCGGGAGGGAGGAGGGGAAAACTGAATTCAGATGAGGATTAAGAGTCGAGAACGGTGTGTATTTTGGAGCAACCCCCCCCCCTTTTCTGTGATTTTTTTTTTAATTAAAAAATAAATAAATAAATAAATACCAATGGCTGACCTAAAAAAGGTGACCTAACCCCCCCCCCCCAAACGGGACAAAATGTCAAATTTTCAAATTTCGAGACCAAAAAAAAAAAGTGTCCTCTTCTCCCCCCCCCCCCCCCCTTATTTAGCGGCTGGCTGAGTCGTTACGATTTTTTTTTGGACCAAAAAAAAAAAGTGGCCCCCCCCCCTAAGAAATCCTGGATCCGCGCCTGGGCATTCCTATCTTTGTAACTAGTCCATTTGTATGAAAGCGAAACAAAATAAGAAAAATAGAATGGCAAAAGTTAGAATCAATCAGATTAATAATATGAAAGTTATGAATGATTGAAATATGAGATCAATGTAGCTATGCGATTCTCAAATTGACAATGTTGTCAGTGGATTAACAATACTCACGTTTTTTCGTGTACACAAATATCATTAATTTCTCTTTTGTTTTAATTGTCTTCTCCCTTGGGTCACTACATAACATAAAGGCCTCTTATAGATCGTATATTATGATAGGTCCTCTTTGTCACGTTGGAAAACGCAATCAACGATTTTATCAAAATATCCTTTTTTCTTTCATTAAACTAGGAACTAAATAAAGCGAATTATAGCGAGTACTTGTGACAGAGAGGGAGGGAGAGAGAGAGAGAGTGGGAGAGAGAGAGAGAGAGGAGAGAGAGAGAGAGAGAGAGAGAGAGAGAGAGAGAGAGAGAGAGAGAGGAAGAGCGAGCGAGAGTGAATGTGCCATCGGTGGATGTAATTAGTGTAGAAATTATACAGTGTTCCGCGAAGCATTGAATGTGTTGTCACGGGTTACTATCTGAAAAGGTTGAGACTACCATTGAAAGGAAAGTGGAATGGCATTACACCTGTTATAGACGGGAAGTGTTTTTTTTTTTGTAGTTGACTGTATATAATGTACTGGAGTGATACTGGCTAGGGCCACACCCAAAGAAGTTGGCTTGGTGTACGGAGGTCTTGATGTACGTAGCAGCTTGCTTCAAAGCATTATAGTTAGCTGCTTGTACACACATTATAGAAGACAAGTTGAGAAAGATGTGGCTTCTGGCTTTATAAAGTTTTGCTACATGAGAATTTGCAGCTTTAAGTAGAACCGATACTTTCCATCGGTAAGTGAAATCATGATACTGTATTTTTTTTTACTACATTGATGATTGTATAATCTTGTACTTTAATGAGGGGTGATTTTATTCAAATGACAAATTGAAGTACGAGAAAGGTATAACATGTTGTTTCACCTTTTGTTATCAATTATATTTTGGGCAAAGAAATTAATGATTAAGAAGAGGAAAATATTTACAATTTTTATTGATGCATGTTTCACCTATAAGAAGAATCTATAGTAGAGAAATGTTTGTGCCTGGACTCTTTATATTTTAGATGGCACAGGGGCTTGGGAGACAAGCTGAGATTTCTACGACTACGAGAGTTGATGCGAGACGGGACATTCGGACACGTGACCGACAGATCACCAAGAACATGGCGTCTTCAGTAGAGAACGCAATATGAACATTATGGTGAGCGATAATGGTGCCGATTATGTTGACGAGACTATTATGGAACTTGAGATAAATAGTTCGTTGAACTTGAAAGTCACATCTAAAAAGATGTCATAGGCTTAGCAGAGCCAATTGGACTATTTCGTGTTTGAGTGTGTATTGTTGATGCATGCATTGTATAAAGACGACTTTGAAAGATGTAATCAAGGGTGAAGTTAGCGGACAATACAGGTCTGGAGTTAACCGTTCACGTGACAAGAAGTCAGTTGTTGATTATTTTGAGAAGAGATCATGATATTTGTGAAGGTATAATTTGTTAAAGTTGATAACTAAATAAACGACAATATACTGGTCTGTTTATTGATGTTAAGGTAAAGTATCTCAAGAACGAGATGTGTATGAGTTAATTGTTTAAGCTACAGATGTGCTATATATATTTAGACAATTCAGGTCTGTTTATATATAAACATTATTGGTGTAGAATTCATGTATAACAAATTATAGAAAGATTTGATACATGTTACAAAGGTGTTGATCATATATTTGATTGACAAGGTTGATTTTATTTTGATGGGACCAAGTGTTTTTGGAAAGAGATTGTAAGAGGATATATATTTCGTTCGTATCATTCTCTTTTTGTCGGAGAATGGTACTATTCTTTGCTTTATAATAAAGCTTGATTATAATTACGAGTATCGTAAATGGCATGTGTTTAGGCTTCTTTATTTTGAGTGTACCATGTGACACTCTTAAAGGAAAAAGACCATCCCGAGTCCTACATTTTGAGAGATGAAGCTTTATTTCAGTAATTCTGTGTTTTGGAATAAATGAGAATAAATGTCTGGCACTGCATTGTAACAGAGACATTACCGATTCAGACAATTTTAAGTTCAGATACGTATACTGATTACAACTTTCCAAAAGTCAAATGTTTTGTTAGATTTTGTCCGATTTTATTCCAATTTTTACTTGTCTGCTTCCCTGATTTTTCTCCTTTCTATAAAAGTTCTTTACTATGAAGGTTGTATTTCTATTGATGGACAATACAATAATGGCGCCCTCTCGCGCTTAAAATTACTTTAATGACAACACTAAATATGTCAGATTCAAATGAAAATTATAAAACTTGTGAACCCCACCGCGAGATCAAATTTGCTTTCTCTTTGTAAATTGCCTAAATGTGGGATTTTACCGCTCCGCTGAAGTAGTATCCGGTGTTAGCAATTCAGGCACTACTTGCCATTGATGGAAGAGAAAAAGAATCGAATGAAATAAAGTCAATTGTCTGGCTTGTAGTCTGAACTTTAACCTAGGAGAGCTTTTGTGGACGAATTGAAAAGCGAGTAAAGAAAAATATTTTCATCGTTATGCATGAACACTAGAAAGACATCAGTGACGTATCCAGGGGCCGGGGTGCTTTTATGTGATATATTTATCACAGCATTCTATAGCACACTTTACTGAGCACCATTGTATTGAACATGGCATGTACAAATCCATTTGAGCCAGATTTTGGTGAAAAGGCCCTGCAAATGTTAAAATCACATGCAAGTAATACCTTAATAAAATGAAATCTATAAAATCCAATGAGTGATAGTTCTTACACGTTTCTTTAAATAATGATGGAATTTATCGTAATTAATAAATTTTTCTGCATTTTTTTAAAAATGGAACTTTTTCAGAAGAGCAAGGCATTCTATCGGAATTTAATTTCTCCTCTCAGATGGTCAAATGCATACGGTTAATTAGGGCATTCCTGTCTTTTTAACTAGTCCATTTGTATGAAAGTGAAACAAAATAAGAAAAACAGAATGGCGAAAGTTACAATCAATCAGCTTAGGAATAGGAGAGTTATAAATGTTTGAAATATGAGATCAATGTTGCTATGCGATTCTCAAATTGGCAATATTGTCAGTTGATTAACAATACTCCCGTTAGTCGTGTACACAAATATCATTAATTTCTCTTTTGTTCTGATTGTCGTCTCCCTTGTGTCACTGTTCAAGATATAGGCCTCTTATAGATCGTATATTATGATAGGTCCTCTTAAAGGAAAAAGACTATCCCGAGTCATACATCTTGAGAGATGAATCTATATTTTGGTAATTTTGTGTTTTGGAATAAATGAGAAAATTGTCTGGCAGTGCAATACAGAGACTTATCAATTCAGAAAACTTTAAGTTTAGATACGTATACTGATTACAACTTTCCAAAAGTCAAATGTTTTGTTAGATTTTGTCCGATTTTATTCCAATTTTTACTTGTCTGCTTCCCTGATTGTTCTGCTTTCTCTGAAAGTTCTTTACTATGAAGGTTGGATTTCTATTCATGGACAATACAGTAAGGACTCCCTCTTGCACTTAAAAATAATTTAATGACGACACTAAATATGTCAGATTGACAAGAAAATTATGTACCTTGTGAGCCCCACCGTGAGATCAAATTTGCTTTCTCTTTGTAAATTGCATAATTGTGGGATTTTACCGCTCCGCTGAGGTGATACCCGGCGCAGGGAGGTGAAAGAAAAGGAGGCGAAACTCTTGTAATTTATTCAAACGCATTCTTGAGTTCTAAAGCGTAACAATGGGATGTGTAACATTCCACTTGGCTTTGAAGTTCCATGCTCCGAACCGCGCTTCCACTGCGGGGAATTTCGGAAGCCAGGCACCAGTTTTACATTTATTACAAAATATGAAATTACCGGCAAAATTTCAGTGTAAATCAAAAACTTTATATGGGGATTTTATTGGGAATAGTGCATCAAACAATTTTTCAAATTTAGAACTCCGTCCTTCCTTTAATTTGTGTGCCAGAGTTGGTAAAAGAAAAATTACATCCTGTCAAAAACTCAATATTTTAGGATGATGCGCTAATTTGTGCATGCTTTAATGTCCCGTTATTTGATCCATGATTTACAATCTTCAATAACATTAAGTTTGCTAATGCGTGTTTTCGCGTGTTTTTTGTATTTTTCAAGTTTAAAAAAGGATGAAAGTACACAAGTTTGTGTTCGCTTGTTCTACGCTTTACACATTCAACAAAGGATGAGAAATCATTGGAAGGGACAGCGAACAGTTGCAGTGATACCATTTTCTGATGTAGGAATTCTAAATCCTGAAATTTCATGCGCTCTTTTATCTCACCACCTGGTCAACAGTTGCAGATTAGCGCATAACTTTTCGGCGGCTTGGAGCATGGGGTCAAAGGAGAGCGGCTTGATTCCTGTCCTTCTCTATCACGTCCCTGCCCCGTGTAATCAATTCAGGCACTACCTGCTATTGATGGAAGAGATGAAAAAATCGAATGAAATAAAGTCGATTGTCTGGCTTATAGTCTGAACTTCAACCTAAGAGAGCTTTTGTGGACGAATTGAAAAGTATGTAAAGAAAACTATTTTCATCGTTATGCATGAACACTGGAAAGACATCAGTGACGTATCCAGGGGCCGGGGTGCTTTCAAATGATATATATATCACATCATTCCATAGCACGCTTTACTGAGCACCATTGTATTGAAAATGGCATGTACAAATCCATTTAAGCCATATTTGTGGGAAAACAAACTGAAAATGTTCTGATTACATGCAAGCATGACTTGAATAAAACGAAAAATGATCATTTGTTTTCACACTTTAATCAAACCTTGACATCCATGAAATTATGTAAACGATTATGTAAACAATTATGTACGCTTTAGGATAACTCTTACGGAAATTGTCTCACTGCTTTCGTAAAAACTTGTAAACACTCGGTCTCTCTCAATGTTTGCTCTCTAATTTTGTACGAGGCTCTAGTCTCCCTCGTACATCAACCACACAAGACCACCGGTGATTATAACAGAAAAGATGAGTCGATGGATTTCAGTTCCAATCATTAACTTTTATTTTAGGAAGAAAGGCACCTCTCAGGAAATGGGATACACCAGCGTTATTTTGTTGTATTAAACTCATACCATTTTAAAACACTCTATATCATTTATTTACAAGATAATTTTTTTTCTTTTGATTTATAATCTTTTTTCGCAGCATATTTTGACTTCCATGAAATGATCTTTTTTAATAATGTACGCTTTTAGGAATTCTTACATTACGATGTATAGCATTGTGAATTGGATACGAATACGAATTTACATCTTAAAATCCCTAAGTATAGAAAGAGAAGTAACCCACAATCTAATAGCACCAGACTGGTAAGTATAAATATATAGATACTTGTTTCAATCGAAGGAAACCAAAAACCTTCATACTAAGTTACTTTATTGCAAAGTTTAAAAGATTTGAATAAAATCAGTGAAAATTTGAACAAAATCGGGCAAGGAATAAGGAGGCTAGAGCTTTTTGAAATGATTAGTCACTAGAGGGCGATATTCAATTTGATGACATCGATTTGTGGATAACTCTCCATGCCTTTTGTACATCAGATTTCACAATTCTTTCGTTTTCTTCGTATTTATTTGTGTTCTTGATCCGACTTCATAACATGTGAAGTAGAATATCATTTTTGCATTCTATACCTTGCTTTCAGGAGAGTAGATTACCTCAATAATAAAAAAAGAAGGAAAAACAGGAAATTTGATGTACAAAAGGCATGGAGAGTTGTCCACAAATGATGTCATCAAATTGAATATCGCCCTCTAGTGACTAGTCATTTCAAAAAGCTTTATAAACTTTCTTATTCCTTGCCCAAGTTACTTTCATTATTATTATATGAGTTCATTCAATTGGAATGAATAATAAATCTCGGGTTGAACATTTATTTCATTAAAAACTTTGGCAGAGTCAAAAGAGACATGCTACTGTTCAGCTGTCCATGTGATTGCATTGATCAATGTGTACAAATAAAGAAAAGACGACAGACTGCAACTTGTGCATTACCGACTAAATATATAACTATGTTGTGATTGCATCAATATTTAATATGATAGCAAATACTTAAGAAAATATTAACCCAAGGCAATTACAATAGCCGTGTGCGTCACATATTGCAATGTGCAAACATGACAATGACGTATTAAGTAAACATGATTTCCATAGGACATACACTGGGGTATTGGAATTGCATTTGACTTGAATGTTCTAAATTGGTCGCGGTCGTGTTATTTACAGGATTGAATCTATGTTTCCTTGTTGTGACTCACGCTGTACACATGTCAATTCTTTTGTTAGATATTCCTGCATATAAATCTATATCAACTGTGATTAGATATGTATAGCAAAATGTCATAATGAAATTTTGAATTATGGATACGGAATGAGCCGGTTTGTCATAAAATTAATGTGTAAAAATAGGCATATAGAAACTATACAATGTAAACAACTGAAGTGAAAATGTAAGGAAGAAGGGAAATAATATAATATTAGAATAGTCTACATGGTGTATGTACAATTCAGTCAGAAGATAAGACATTTACAATACGTTATGAAAAAGGCACTGTATTGATTATTTGCTTTCACAGTCAAATATATTTTGATTTCTAAATATGTCTACATGTAAACGTTGTAAAGTAGGCCCCTATTGACAGTTGTAAATCTTCCGCAATGCTCACTAGGCGTGTTTATACGATGTAGATAATCAAAATAGAAGCAAACACTCCTTTTAAACTTAAGTCACTCCTTTCTCAAATCAGTTTTGTCTATGTACAATTCAGTCACAAGAAAATAACATTACAAATATTTTATGAATTCATGAAAATGAATGCCCTG